GTGTTACCATCATCTCACCATTAGGTTTCACAGAATCATTGAGTCACAGAATGGTTTGGGATGGAAGGGACCTTAAACATCATCTAGTCCAAGGCAAGGACATCTTCCACTAGCCCAGGTTGCTCCAACCTGCCCTTGGACACTTCCAGGGATGGGGCAGCCACAGCTTTCCTGAGCAACCTGTGCCAGGGCCTCCCCACTCTCACAGGGAAGGACTTCTTCCTAATATCTTATTATCAATATCTTATCTTTCCTGCCCTTCTGAGCTGAGGCTCTGCACCAGCCTGATCTGGAGCAAACCACAGTGTGCCAGAGTTCAGGGAGCTGCCAGAATCCATTTCAGCCTGGCAGCCCAGAGCTAACTGAAATTCAGGGCTATCCCAGTGCTTCCAGGGATGCCAACTCAAGAGTCAAGATACTGGGCTCCCATGTCCCCATTTGCTAGAGCCTTCCCACAGGCCAGCCCCCTGCTTCAGCTTCTGTGTGCTGAGATAAAAGCCACAGTGATTTCCTCCAGCAGCTCCCCAGCCACAAGGGAACTGAGACACTACAGTGGTGAAGAGGTTGAGGAGCACCGTGGCAGTGGTGAACCACCTCATACAGAGAGCTGACACCATCTGCCATTGCTGGCTCTCAGGCTGTTATTTGGCAAAGATGATCTAACTTGTATTGCCCAACAAGCAGAGGGTGATCGAAATCTTTATAGAAAACATCTCACAAACTGTAAACAACACATTTTCTACACAGAGATGAAGATGGAGATTAATGCTTGAATTATCCTGGGTAATTAGTGTAGCAGGTAATCACTTAAAATCTGGTACATCTGTGAATACCTCACTTTGACTGAATTAGAAGGTGTTTGCAACTGCTACAGTAAGATGGCTTCAGTGATCCCACTGGAAATCTTTGTGGGAGGTTAATCCTCACTTCAAAAGGCAGAGATTTGCAAGAGGATTATGTGTCCAGGATGACACATTCACATTGTTGTAGGAAGCAAGGCCTTTTTTTTCCTCACAGTGAAGCCAAGTGCTGCTTTCTTTGAATTCATGTATTCTTTGAGCTTGAGGGCTCGGCCCTCTTCAGTAGAGTGTTTGAGAGCTGAAATGCTGAACAGTGCTTGAGAGAAAGTCATGACAAGAACAAGGGCAAAAGAGAGGACAATGAAATCCAAACTTGGTGTTAAAAATCCTAGAGCAACAAGGTCACACTTGCAAAGCTACTGGATGCATTTCTTTAGCTTATTATAAATGTTACAGAAAAGATGTCCTCTAAGAAGACTTTGAGACAGGTCTGTGAGGATCCTGTCCTTGCTGCTCACATTCAGGCAGCTCCCAAAAATGTGCATCTTGCTTATGGTCCTGCAGTCACTGAGGAGACACCTCAAACCTGGAGCACATCTGGTGGAGCCACATTGACAGCCAGTGCAGTGACTGTTGTACTGGCTCAAGCTCATGAGTGCTTCAGGTTTGAATTAGGTGTGGGATGGATGTTGAATCATGGTTCCCTTGCTACTCAGCACACAGAGGAGAGTTGGGGAACTGTAGTTTTGTGTGCAGATTTTACTACTTACTGCACTAAAGAGAGCTCTAACCAAGAAAATGGTGGTTTCCAAGCACACAAAGACATTCTCAGTAAAACTGAAGTGTTTCTTTGCTATACATTTCCAACACAAAACTGCTGCCAGGAGCTCTCATCTGATTTGCTCGAGTTTGCAAAACATCAAGGTGAATAACTGAGACAGGCTGAGTTTGTAAATCCTGGGGAATTCACATCAACAGAACCAAGAAGGAAAGAAGAGATACTTAGAGCTTCATGCAGAGGGTCTGGTCTGTCTTTTAAGAGAGGTTATAGTCACTTGTTTACTGAGATAGCACAAGAAGAAATACAGGTGGGGTTGAAGCCAGCATCCATCAACCTCATTATGGACAGATCAACAGGGACTTGTTCAGACCAACCACAAAATGTCCCCAAGGAGAAACTCTGCTAAGTTTCAAAACTCTCAGTCCCCAGTAAAGCCCATGTAGTCATATAATCACAAAATGCTTTGGGTTGGAAGGGATCTTAGAGGTCTTCTTGTTCTAACCTGCCATGGCAGGGACATTTTCCACTAGCCCAGGTTGCTCCAAGCTCCGTCCAACCTGGCCTTGGACACTTCCAGGGGTGAAGTGTCCCCTGCAGTTATTTTAAAATGAAAGAATAAAAAGAAAACACCCTGTGCAGAAATGCTTTTTAGCCCTTTTTTTCCTTCCTTTCCCAGAAACAAGTTTGCAATCCCCAAGCTTGGGGTTTGCCTTACTCTTCAAACAGTATCCACTACCAAATTACATCTTCACAGGACATTCCCTTTTATAATATGCTGGAGGAAATTGCTGCCCCACCAACCCCACCACTGACACTGGACCTTTGATGGACCTTTGTAGAAGGGAAGAGTGGATTTATGACCTTCTCCACACTACCTTCTCCCTTCTGAATCCTCAGCAGGACATTCACACCTACTTCTGTATTGCCAAAGAAGTCAAAATATATGTTTCTATCCATCATAACAGACTTTGCACTGTCCTTGCCCTGAACTCCCTAGCTGTCAGTGCTGCCAGGTGTTTGTAGGTCCTGCTCACTCACTTCAGGGCTGTGTAACTCAACACTGATCCCACACACTTGTTCCCCCCCACAAAATGTTTTTAGATGCTTGAACCAACAACACACCTCTGGTTGGCAGTGTTCCAACATGCAGTCACCACTGGGTTTTTCCTGGCAGTGAGCAGGGGGGGGTTAGGTTTGATATCAGGAAAAATTTCTTCACCAAAATAGTTGCCCAGCCCTGGCAGGAGGTGCTGTCCAGGGCAGTGGTGGAGTCCCCAGCCCTGGGGGGATTTAAAAGGTGTGTGAATGTGTCACTTGAAGACATGAGTTAGTGGTGGGCTTGGCAGTGCTGGAGGCATGGTTGGACTTGATGATGCCAGAGGGCTTTTCCATCCTAATGATTCTGTGACCCTGTATCCAAGTGGAGCACAGGAAGCTGCAGCTCCAGCCCCTTCTCTAAGAGAGATTTGATCTCCCACCTCCCAGGTGCCCCTGAGCTCACCTGGCCTGTGATGCTGGTTGTTCCTGTTCTGAAGACTATTTCAGCTCAAGTTGCCCAGACCAGGAAATGTTCAGGCAGAAGGATGGCCTTTAGGTCTGAGCAGGGAGCAGCCAGCCCTGCTTCTGGAAGAGCCTTTAACTCTGAGCAGTTATTAAGCAGAGTTGTCCTGTGGGCTGGTTGTCCCTGACCCAAATTCTGGGAAGGAGGAACAGCAGCTGCATGGCAGCAGCATGTCCTGCTCTCCCTGAGCTCTGCAGACCTGGTTGCAGCCTGCAGGTAGAGACAAATAAAGAAAACATGAGCAGGAGTTGTTCTTTTTTTTTTTTTATGGTGGCAATTATTTCTACTGCTACAAATCGCATTTTTTTACTACCCAGAACTTCATTTCCACCAGCATCAACTTCTAACACTTCCCAGTGATGCTGCAGTTTCTCTGTTTATGGGTCTGACTGTGTAAGAGGAAAAAGGGGCATGTCAGGCTGCATCTCTGAGGCTACCTGTGGCCTGCAAACAGCCCTTTTGGTGAGCTGGCATGGCACAGTTAGTGTTCTGGGCTGATTCACACTGTCTGCAGAGACAATACACTCCTGGGCCACTGAGACAGTCCTTTTAAATCGAGAGCTGTGCATAATTTGAATGCACTACTAAAATGGAGTTCAGCTGCACCTCACTGTCAAAATGTGAGCATATTTTACCCGTGTCAGAGCACTGGAGTGTAGCCAGAAAGCCAGTGTAGTAATTTTTTGGGCATGATGTTCGGCCATATTTTATTAAACTCCCTGTTCTACACTTCACTGCTTGGCTCTGTGAGCTGCAGCCGAGCATCCCTCACTCAATAAGCTGCTTGTTCCATCCTTGTTGAAATCTCCTTGTAAAATTAAAAACCCCACATTGTCCTTTTCTCCCACCTTGAGCTGTTACTTAGCCTGAATCATCGTGGCTTTGGTTTAATCTCATGTCAGACACTGTTCATGTAAATGCTGAACAGCTGAAATGTCACAACCATCAGCATGAGATCTGCCTTGAATTGCTGCAGCATCTCTCTGAGCCCAGCTGTAGGCACTGCCTCTGCCCTGATGTTCAGGGAATATGCAGTTTGTTCCTGGGCAGAGCAGCCCGTTGGCTCCATGGACTAGATTGCAGACAGATGATTTGGGGAGCCCAGTTTTGAAGTCTGTAAGATCAGTGTCTTCTGTATTCCTTTCCTGGGGACTGTATAGACCCTGTGCCTCTCCATGCAGCTGTAAAATGATGCTATGAACTTCCCACCTTCACTTGATTGGGATGAAAAGCACTAGAGCAAGCAAGCTATCACAGTGATAATATAATGTAAAAAACCCACCAACCTAAGAGTAAAATGTCTCCCAGCTTCTGGAAGGATAATGCAGAGGCAAAATATGGCACACACATAAAATGTGTCACTTCCTTATAAGAGCAGAATTAATGGATGCTACAAAAAACAAATCAAAAAACATTATGAAAGATCTTTTTTCCAGGAAAGAATATGAGAATTCATTGGATTTAGACATGAGAAACAATGGTTTTTGATAATGAAAGTGCTAGCAAAAAGTAAACTAAGAAATGTGTTTTCGTGCTTCTTGGGGAACTTTCGTATTGGTGAACTTGTATTGTGTGAATAAGCACAACCTCTTAAGGACAAAGATGGGCTTTAGCACTTGAAATTCTCTTTGCTGGATGTTGCTGTCCTCTCATTTCTCAGTGGTTGGTATTTTTACACTCCAGCTACATTTCACAGCAGTTCTTTAAGCACACCCCCAGCAAGGGAGATGGAAGAAGCAATACTGCTTCGCCTGCAGCTGGAGAAATCCTTTATTGCTCACGTCACCTCCTTGGCTGTGGGATTCACTGCAGGAAAACCTGCCTGAAGCTGTTGATGGTCTCTGTCCTTCCCTCCCAGGACCACGCAGACATCGAGTGGAAGTTCGCACGGACGAAGCTCTGGATGAGTTACTTCGACGAAGGTGCCACTCTGCCCCCTCCCTTTAACATTGTCCCCAGTCCCAAGTCAGTCTGGTACCTCTGCAAGTGGATCCACAACCAGCTGTGCCCAGGTGATGACTCTGACAATGAACAGAAGAGGCATGAAAACCTCAAAACATTCACAGTAAGGAGCTCATGGGTTTGTACTTCATTTTTTGAGGGTGTTGTGCATGTTCAGGATCATGAGGGCCACTGCTCTGCTGGGGCAGCAGACAGCTGCTAAGAGCCATTAGGAGCTCTAAAGCCTGGAGCAGACAGGTAACACCCCCGTGTCTCTCTCCTTCCAGGAACGACACGCTGACAACCTGATTCAGAATCAACATTACCAGGTAAACTCCTGAGCATGTACAGTTTTTACTCACTGTTTCTTTCTTCCTGCTCATCTTCTAATACTTCAGTTCTTGCTTGCTTCTAGAGTATATTTTGATAAGTGTAGGTCCTCTGAGAGGATTTTGCTTATCACAGATTAAAACATTTCCTCACTGGAGGTAGATGGTTCAGTAAATCTCTCCTTGCCTTTCAGCCCCCTTGAGCAGTGGAAAACTTGCCAGCTATCAGTCTGGCTGCTGAAGCAAAGGTGACATCCCTGTTGCCCTCTCAATTAAAACTGTTTCTGTGCATTTTTACACTCTTGAATTGTTCCTCTCCTGCTCTTTTTTGTAAAGCATCCCTAACTCAAACAGTGGTTGGGATTTTCTTTTGTTTCGGATGGCTCAGAAAGAAGGAATGGTTCCTTTGTTGAATCTTGCTGGTTTTGTTTATTCTCAGCCTGCCTGTCATCAAGGACTCATTAAAGCCAACCTACAAATGGATGAAGCTTTATTAAAAACACCAGCTTCAGACCTTGAGTTCAGTGGGATGTACTATGCCAGCATGCTGGAAGGAAAAAAAATTCTGCAGAATGTTAGGTGGTACATTAGGCTCTACTGCCAAAAGACATTGGTAATTTGTCTTACCTAAGACATCTCCTACCTTTGGAAGAGTACTTCTATCTGAAGTTGATTGTTAACAAAATTAGTCACCTTTGACAACACCTTTGACACTTTTTGACTTCAGAGCACAGCTTATGGGTAGCAACAGTGGGATTTCTTAAAAACCTCCCAGCAAAAAAAGCATCTTCATGCTTGGTGTCACTCAGACTGGCTACCCCTGTTTATGGAGTGGGGGAAATGAAGGGCAAGTTTGTCCATGGAACACACACAGAGAGCCTTGGTGTCTGTTGGCTGGCACAGGTAAATGTTCAAGCTCAGTAAAGCCATCAGGGAGGTGCCTGAACAGAGCAAAATGGAGCTCATCCAACCAAAGACATGGAGTGTAGCCAACATCCCAGTAACACAGGGGAGTGAGAGCCCGTGGAGAAGTCACTGAGGGTGTGATTCTGTCCTTCCAGTGCCGCCCACTGACACTGCAGCCACCCTGAAGGGAGTTTCTGCCCTGCCTTTAGGGCAAACAGAGGCAGCTGGCAGATGTGCTTTGAGGTGAATGCCCATTGCACCGTGGGGTCCTGGCTGCTTTTCACATCATTTGCTGCCAACATACCCTCCTTGGCTTTCAAATACTTTATAAACATCTTCAAATGCCAAATTTAGCCTGTCAGGATACAGAAAATACACACACGAGATTGGTGATTCTAAAAACTTTCAGCAGCTGAGATCAAATGGCTTGAGCACATCAAAGAACAACAAGAATTTTTTCTCAACAATTTTTACATATACAAACCCCAGGACAAAACAGCTGCTTAACCTGTAGCCAACAACTGAGCATCCAAGATGGAAGGTATATCAACCCTTCCCAAGGTTTGCTCTGTTTAAAAGGAAGCATTCTGTTTCTAATGGTGAGTGATTTTGGTTTTAGCCAGCAGAGCCAGGACAGCTGCTGTTTGTAAGAGCTCAGGGAAATACAATAAGAACAGTTTGGGCTGAGCCAGCAGCTGAATCACTTGGATTGTTTCCTATTCCAGGAAGTGATAAGAAATCTTGTGAAAAGGTATGTTGCAGCAATGATAAGGACTTCCAAAACCAACGAAGGCTTAACTGAAGAAAATTTCAAGGTAATTTATTATTCCTCAATAATAATTTATTATATTAATTCAAATAGCCACTTGCAGAGTTTGCACTAAATTGTTAAGATGATTTGTAGTGTGTGGAAATAGAACTATGACTGGAGCTGGGAATATATCTAATAGGCATGTGGGGGATTTTGAGCAGAGAATATTACTGTCTTCTCATATGATCACCTCCCAGATTTTAATATACAATATGTTATATCAAGAAAAGTGTTAGAAAAGGGTAGGAATGAAGTATGTGATTTGTGTCAACATCATGTTCCTAATCCTAATGCAGACAGAGCCAAAGAATGAGTTGGGCTTAATGAAAATCAACACTCATTAACAAAATTCAAGTTGGGCCTATCAGCTAAACAGGATTCCTGCCATATTTCTGCATTTCAGCAGCCTTCCCTCTTCTATAACTATCTATAACTGTCTTATTTGACATTTTGGGGGGTCGGGGTGGGCAGAGGAGGTTGATCAATGAGACCAAGTCCCCCCAGCCTTTGGTGACAAAGACCTTGTGAGGTCTCCAATTCCTTGGCTTACCAAGACATTATTGTTTGTGTGTGTGGTGTTCTTGTAAGTGTGATTTGATATCAGCCACTGACACACTGACCAGCTCTCCCGAGGGAACGTGGCCATTCATGTCAGATAAAGCTGCTGAGAGTAACCTGTTTCTCCTCATGCCCTAGGAATTAAAACAGGACATCTCAAGTTTTCGCTATGAGGTTCTCGACCTCTTAGGGAATAGAAAGCCCCAGAGGAGGAGTTATTCAACCAGCAGCACAGAGGTGTCCCAGAAGGATGAAACAAATGAGGACGGTGCTGGAGAAAAATCCAGAGCCAAGAGCGTGTCCTTCAATGTAGCCAACAAAAAAAAGGACTTCAATGTATCTGCTCTGATTAAAACCATGTCTGGGATCGACATTGTGGAAGAGAAGCCAAAAAGCAATGGGATCAGTAAGCGCTCCTTTGTCCGAAACGGAAACAGAGTTCAGAGACTCTCCAGCTCCAAGAAGGAATCCTTCAAGAGACTGGGCCTGCTCTTCTCCAAGATGAACGGACACGTACCTGAACCCAGTTCAGAACCCATGTACACTATTTCAGATGGGATTATTCAGCCACACTACATGTGGAAAGACATTAAATATTCTCAGATTGACCGAGAGAGGGAAGAGAATTGTTCCAGAAGTGAAATTAACCTCAATGAGGTGGCCTACAGTGGGAACACAAGACTTACAGGACAGAGCAAGGAATGTCCTGTGGTTTGTGCCAGCTCCCTTCACTGTGCTTCCAGTATTTGTTCCTCTAATTCCAAACTTATAGACTCGTCAGAGGACGTGTTTGATTCCTGGGGAGAGGCCTGTGACTTGTTCATAAACCAGTGGAAAGATGGACAGGAGGATCACGTTACCACTCGGCTCTAAGTAAAACTATCTTAACACTCACTGGAAAACCTACCCAAGAATTGGTAATTGTTTGCTCTCATCTGATTCAGCATTACTGTTCCCTTTCTGTCCACAGGTGAAAAAAAAGTGTAAACACACTTATGCTAGCCTATTTTATAACCATCTGCACCTTTTTTAATTTATTTTTTTACACTCGCTAATACTAAACTAAAGGTTTCACCATTTATAAGGTCACTATAAACCACAGGAATCCCTTCAGGTGTAGTCTTAGTCTTCAAACCCCACAGACTTCAGATGCACTGGTGGCTGAGGAAAGGATTTCTCCAGTGGTCCCACCATCGTTCCACCACAGGTGGGTTTCCCTGCTGTCCAACACCGCTGGCTCTGCGTCCTGCTCAGTTTTCCTCATCAACACGACCAGCTGGTGAGCAGGAGGATGAGAACCACATTTCAAATCTTTTTAAAAAGGGTTTCAACTTATAGCCAGTCCTTTGTTTCCTTTAAGCAATATGACTTCTGGTTCTTTTGGCTGTGTGTGTTTTTTCAGGTCATTACATTAATATTGTAAATTGTTATTGAATACGAGACCCCTTTGATCATCCAGCTGGAACATGTTATTATTTGCTTATTTGCCTAATTTGCCTTTTAGGGAGCAGAAAGACCTTCCAGTTAGGCTGACAGTGGGAACCAGCACCTGGCTTTGCTCCCAACTTCTGTGTAGATGAACTGACCCCAAACCAGCCGTAGCTGCTTGAAATACAAACCTGTGTGTAGTTTGGCTGAACCAAAACCCAGCTCTAAGCCTTGCCCTTGTTTTTCAATTCCTAATCTTATTTCCACTACTGCATTCACTTTTTGCTGTATCTCTGATGGATGTCAGGCTTCAGGGAGAAAACCATCCTCCCTGTGTATGGCAAGTGCTAAGAGGGATCATCTTCCCTGGGCCCCTGAGCTGCATTTCTGAAAAGCAGCCTAAGTAGTAGAGGCTCAAACTGCATCAGCAGTGTGGAATGGCTCTGCAGCTCCTCTTCTGAGGTGCAGCAAAAAGGAGTGTGGCAGTAGGTAGTATCTTTTATCTCCCCAGTTGTGACAGTGGTAGTGTCTGTGGCTTACCACTGTCACTACTTTAGTTCCAAGGAGCATCAGAGCGGGGAGAAGACAACCTCATCAAGGGCAAAATGGTTGAATTCTTAACAGTGATTTTTAGTGTGTTTTTTTTTTTTAATTTTATTTTTAACAATGTGATACTTGAACTTTCTTCTGCAGTGTTGCTAAGAAACACTTACCACCACTTTAGAGCTGTTATTAGTCAGCTGCTTTCTTGGAGGAACCAAGTCCTGAGGAGGAGCTCAGGAATGGCTTTGTTCCTGCCCTGGTGCAGGGCTGTGTTCCCAGGAGAGCTTTTGTGAGCTGCAGCATTTCCCAAGGGCGGCTGCCAAAAATCACCTCATCTGTGAACTGAGCTGTGAGTTGCCTTTGGAAAAGCATAATGCTGGAAAATCTACTCCTGCCATTGCAGTGGGTCAGATTTTACCAGCAAGGGGCACTAGCAGCTCTTGTGGCAGCACAGAGGGTCGGGAGGAGAGGGGTAAGGGTTGCTGGGACACCTGCCCAGGTTTTAAACCTGGCTCCCTTCTTTTGTGAAGGAAAACCACCTTGTTGGGTTTTTCCTTTGGGCACCTGTGCAGCTTCATGTAACGGGCCCTAGGGAGCACAGAAATCAAGCAGGAATGTGAATGATGCAGCCAGTTCCTGAAGCAGAGCTGCAGGTGCCAACACACTGGACTCATGGAAGTTTCCAATACAGACCTCAAAATACTATACAGCCCTGGTGTCAAGAAAAATCAGCAACTAGGAGCAGAGACTCAAAAATGTTTCTGTATTCCTAGAGCAAAATGACCCCAGTCTTGTTAACAGCAGGCAGTGTAAAACCCAAAATATTTAAGCCTCTAGATGTGTTAGCTAAAGGCAGAGTGAAAGGCATTTTGTATCAACAGATTTCAGGCTTTCATGCTAATTGCAGGGTTAGAGTTGTCTTTGAAAACTGCATCTCCTCTTCCTTCATGGAAGGCTGAGCAAAGTGACATTTGTGCTACACAAGGAGACTTGCAAAATTCAAGGGTCAGGAACAGCTTGGTGATCATTCTGTGAGGAAATCCAGCACTCCTGTCTCTTAGAAGCAAATCCATCAATGCAGGAAAGCTGCAGTGAGAACCCACTAAAACTAATAGAGCAGCTCACACTCAAAGCCCCACAGTTCAATAAACCAAACCGAGCACTTTTCTGTAAAGATGAACATTAGCAGGAGCTGCTGCAGGGGCAGGAAGGAAAGGGTTTGAATCCTTTGATGCCTCACCTAACCACCCTGCAGATCTGTGAAGTCTACTTGACATGGGGCCAGCAAAAATTTTTGGTATTTCCTGTGTAAGGAGTAAGAATGAAAACAATTCAAGTACAGTTATGCAGATTACACCAAATGGGCTTGAGGCTGTGCCAGAAACAGAGTTTGTGTCCTTGGACAGTGGAAAGTCTTAAGAACAAGCACACTGCTACTGGTGATGATGATATTGTGTCATTTAAACACAGCACTGCATCAACAGGTACAGCCAACAAAACAAAACGTAATTAACTCTGCAGTGCTGCCCCCAAAAATGTAAAAATCCCTTCCATGCAAACTGTGTGAGTCACGTTCTCCTGCTGTGGCCTGAAAGGGCAGGTGTCAGGAGGGATAAAACTGTCTGCAAAACCCCTTGGAATGCTGTGCTAAAGGGGGAAGGTGCATCACATGGCTGCTCAGCTGGGGCTCCCCCGGGGGTTTGTTTCATGACTCAGATCCTTCCTTGCTCCCAGCTATGAGGGAGTCTGAGCTGACTTTAATTTAACACAGATATTTGATTTGGCTGTGATTAATGCATGTGTCCAGGAGTTTGCAAACTGTCAAATTGATCCCCCAAAAGGCAAAATTCTCTGTGATTGCATCTTTGCATCCCCAGTGGTAGCAATAGACTTCATAGCAGCTGATGAATTATTATTTTGCTAAAACAGGAGCTTCAGGGGAAGGAAATTGAAGTATCTTCTGCAAAACACATTTGATTGAAAAAACCAACCCCGCTTTTGGTTAATTCACTTGCAGTTACAGTATTTGAGATTTCACCAGCATTCTTCCATTTTCAATTGCTCAAAAAGAAAACACGTTTTAGTGCAAGTTATTCTCAGTGAACAACCACTGTGCTGTCCCTGCAAGAAGCAGGGTGGGAGCCAATGGGACATCGAGTTTCTCCTGTGAGGAGTTAAACTTTTCCTTGGCTTGGGTTCAAGACACACAGCTGAGCTCCAACTGGTACACACTTGGCCTTTATTCTCTGGGCTTCAAGACTAATCCATAAATATATGCAAAGAATTTGGAATTAGGAATAATAGAGATCTCAACCACTTGCGCTTCCTCAGGTTTCTTGCTCTTGAAGTTGCATTTTTTCTCACCTCCCAGCCCAGTGTCATTTTCACTGGTTTTTTAAAGCAGCACACCTGCAAAAGGTCATGGAATCATGGAGCTGTTTGGGTTGGAAGGGACCTTAAAGTTCTTCTTGTTCCAACTCCCCTGCCATGGGCATGGACATCTTTCACTAGACCAGGTTGCTCTGAGCCCCATCCAACCTGGCCTTGAACATTTCCAGGGATGGGGATCATCAGCAATTAAAAAGTTAACAAATACCATCCAGGGTTGAGAATACCAAGTAGAATTGTGAGATGTTTGTACTCAGGTCAGAGATCATATAAATCGCTTCAGGAACAAGACGTTAACCGGCACATCTGTGCAGATTATTTGGGTGACTGCACTGGGACATCCCTCCCTCACTGGTAGGTCTGTAAATACTCTGTACCTGTACCTGTGACCCTGCAGAGGAAGCAGGGGCAGTGGGCAGAGCCAGGGGGGAGCAGGGGGAGCTGAGCTCTGCTCCCTGCTCTGCCACCCACTCACCCGTGACCTTGGGCAAGTCACTCGGCCTCTCCAACGCCTCAGATTCCCCATCTGTAAAATAGGGATAATAACACTTACCTACCTCGCAGGGGGGGTTAGTTCATTATTTATAAGCACTTTCAGATCTTCAAATTAAAGGCGCTATATACAGCAAGTAGTTAAGATTCGTAGTGGTAGTTATGTCCTTTTATTTTCTTACAACTAATTCAGGTTAGGATTTAACTGTCTGTTAGGATAGTTTTCCATGTAGGGAACTAGCATGGTTTCCCATGAAGGGAATTTAGGGGACTTCTGCAGTAGACAGAGAGCAGGAACAGCATACCCTGGAAGCCTAAATTCTGACACCCTTGCTTTTGTTATTTATGTCTCACCCTTAATGTCACCTTCCTGTATTTGTGTTTCATCCTTTTTCCAACAGTCCATGTAACATGATTTTTAGCAGAAACAGCCACTGTAAATATTAAAAATATTTAAATAAATATAATAATGTACAAATATAAACATAAACCCTTACCTTCTAAGGAGGTTAAAATTGGTTGGTGCAACAGACTTCTAAGCATGGGGAGGTTCCACAGGCCCAGCACTGATGCACGTGCACACCAGGATACTGGAACAGGGCTATAGGAAAATTTCACCACATCACCATCTCCATAGTAGTCACTTTTCAACCTATCACTGGCAAGGGCAGCAAGTACATGGGTGTGACTGGTGTCACTGGAGCAGGAGGGCTCTGCTGCATGTTCTGCCCCAAGAGAGGGTAAAGGCAGCTCCTGGACCCCGACCTCAGGCAGCAGAGTGTGGCCAACACAGGGCTGCTGGAGGAACCATCCTGGACAGCAGGAGAATGTCTCCTGCATCCCTACAAAGGGCCCTTCCCCCCAGATTTCTCTGTACAATTTATTTTCTTCAGTGCTTACTCAGGATAAAGGTGTGAGGTTTGAGCAGCAGGAGCTCCAAGATTTGGCTGGCAGAGTAAGGGCACTATGAGCATTCTAAGCTCCATTCCAGGAATAAGAGGAGTTGCAGGTAATGTGCACTGGCTATCTGGACATTACTAATGGTGTAAGATATCTTACAAAGCAAAGATATCTGGACAGTTACTAATGGCATAAGCAAGGATCTGACTGCTGGGTTTTCAGGCACCTGCTGCTCTTACACCACTGAGTGTATGTTCTGCTTCCCTGGGGACTTCTCACCTTTGCTTTGGTATTGCTGCTTTTCATTCCAAAAGGCCAAAATCCCAAAGAATAGCATATTTCAGTTAATCAGGAAGAGGTTCAGTTTTGGTTTAACTCCTGGTTGAGTTGTCCTCAACAAGTTAACTCGTCCTGTCCCTCAGACATGTCTGTGAGAAAGCTCTGCACAGGCTCAAAGGCTGATCTCCAAAGAAACAGGAACCTCCTCCCACCTCTGTTGCAATTCCACACACAGAATGGCTAAAAATAAGCAAAAACATCTGCCCCACCAGGGATGCCTAGAATTAATGAAAGTTGTTACTTAACTAAGAACTCCCTGGAGTTGGTTTTGGGGTGGATGGACTGCAAGGACCTCTCCTTCCCAAGAGGGACCCTCTGGGCCCTCCAGCACTGCATCCCCAGCTGAGGCAGGTGAGATGGCTGGTCACACCTTCCCAGGTGTGCTGGAAGCATCAGACACTCTAATTCATGTAATGGTAAAATTAATTGGAATCAGTGAGACTACAGTGGATAATAAATCCACTCACTGGAGAAGCATCTAAAACAAACTGTTCCCAGTTTGCAGTGAATGTGTAACTTGAAAGAGCTATGAAGTCCCTCCCTTACTGGATTTTTCTGGAGGAGGTGGGGACCACGCTGGGCTAGCCACATCAGCATATCTCCTAAATATCTGTAATTTGATTAAATTTCATTTTCACACTCTTTCCCCATTTCAGGCCATTTTTACGAACTAGTAATTTCTGTACTATTCACATAACTGCCTCCAC